GTATGTAATTAATCCCAGGACAACAATGAAGCGTGTACACAACAGATGGAGGTAGGTTGGTGGGCAGAGTGGTAAGGAGGGAATGTGTGCCCACTTCTCTGATTGCATCTGTTTTTACCAAAGAAAGAAGCAAGGCCACCAGCTCTGAACAATAAGCAGAAGTTCGATGATGGAGGAGACATGAGACAGTCCTTCAGAAGAGCAGGGCAGTGGACAGGGGAGTGTAGCAGCTTTGTTGTTACGTGATTTAGTGAGAAATGTTAACTGGTTATAAAGTAGTCAGTGTTTTAATAAATACTCCTATGCAGTTGGGAAAATGGGTGTGTTTCAAGGAATCCAGTATTCAGGTAAACAGTTATACCACAAAGTATCCCACAAAGTGATAAAACAATAGAACCCTAACCTTGACAATATAATTTAATCTTGGATAATTTTTTTTTTTTTTTTTAAGACGTTTTTGACTGGGTGCACACGCTGGCTGCAGAAGGAAAGAGAGACAGAGACAGTGAGAGGAAAAGTGAGAAATCACCCCCTGGGGGGATGGCCACACCATAATCCCTCCTCTCCTATTCTCCCCTTGGATTTTGGGCATGCACCCACACATGCCAGGGTGGTTTTCAAGCCACTGGGTCTGGGACTCTAAATGCAGTCAGCTATATAAGAGTCCAGTGACATAACACTAAGCCATCTGCTGGTCCCAATCTTGGATAATTCTGACAACATTTTAGCCTTTTTAATGATTTATCTTTCTGAATATTAATAATTCCCTATAGGTATACAGCCAGTAACAGGAAGTTCTGATTGATATTGGGAACAGGAACTGAATAGTATTAGGAAGGATGAACCAGATTTTAACTGTAAAACATAAAAATATGAATCAATATTAAACTATATATGGGGGGAAGACCAGCAGATGGCATAATGGTTACATTGTTGGACTCCCAAGTAATGAACCATGATTCAAGTCTTGGACCTAGCAACTTAAAACTCATGCTAGGTGTATTTGCATACATGCTCAAAATCTCAAGGAAAATGGAAGAGAAGGGATTGTGGTGTGGCCATCCCCTGTGTGGTTTTCTTGCCTTCTGTCTCTCTGGCGAGCTCATGTATCTACAGCAAAAACAACAACAAAAAAAGCTCTTTTATATATATATATATATATATAGGGCCAGCAGGTGGTATGGTGGCTAAGGCCCTGGATTCCCCCATGACTGACTACGGTTTGAGTCCTGGATCTGGCCTTTTGCTTTCTCATTCTCTCTCTCTCTTTGGTGTGTGTGCCCTATAGAAAATTAAAAATAATAATAAATTTTAAAAATTAGAAATAAGGTATATAAAATTTCTTTGCTTGGTATACTTCTGTGTCAAAATTGATTCTATATTAGATGTGTTAGGGTGTAATGCTGAATAGAGGTTAATAAGCAGAGGGAAATGAATTCACTTGGGCTCTAATACACTAAGAAGCAAATAGGGAGGGAGTAACATACTAAATAACTAATGTTCTCCTCATCACTAAGAAAGGTTACCCATCCTTTATGTGTTTACTGTGTGGGGGGAAGTAGGGGTTGAGCTGAGATGGGTAAGGGAGTGGGTAGGGAGTGGGCCGATATCTAATCTGTGCCTGGCAAACTCTCCATTCCCCCTTTCCCTCTTCTGCTGCCACTTGTCTGCTATTCTGAAACCCAAGTAGGGTCAGGGAGGATACATTGGAAGCGTCTGACCCAGAGAATGTGCTGTTGGAAACTGTGCTTTGGTGGATTTCGCTTTTTGTCTTCTTTAGAGACGCTATTGAAAAGTTTTGCCACTATGGAGGGAAAAATACTAACCCAGGGTCTTGAAAGAATAGTTTTAGATCCCTATGGTAATTTCTAGTCTTCTACTAATACTATGCCTGAAGATCAGGAAAATTATCTTTATGATTTAAGGCCAACACCCATCTTTTGAAACTTATAAAAAGTATTGGAGGAAGTTAGTTCATATGTTTTGCACTTGGGACAATTAATTCAAGTAGCTATCTGGGAGTTATAAAACAGGGAGCCCTGAAATTGTGCTGTGTTGGTGGATACAGATTGGCTGCTATCTAGTAAGAGCAAAACTATGTTAATAGTTAAACCAGAACAAAAGGGCAATAACTGATTTATAATCCTAGGCCATGTGGTAAAAGATAGTTCCCTTAAACAAATTTGCAGGACTGATGTTCCATTGTGTTCCTTTTTAAAAACGTGATATTAAACATAATCTGTAAATCTAAGTTTCTCCCTTCCCTCTCTTTTTCTTGTAGAAATTTTGGTGGGAGTGTGTCTGTTTAGTTTGGGTCTTTGGTTTGAATTACTGTATTTATTAAATAACAAGGAATCTGTTTTGTGTTAGTGTAAAAACAAATGAGGAAGAATGGCTTCCCTTTGAAATTACTGTAGCACGGTGAATAGTTTTGTTGTCTTTGTAGTTAAGACAAGAGAAACTTAAAACTAAAATTGTCAACATGTTAAAAAATTGTCAACATGTAGCTAAACATAGTGAAACACTTTTTACTGTTTGATGTAAAAGAAAAATATGTTATTAAAATATTTGTAGGTCTGAGGGCTACAGAATTTTTAAGTTATAATAATCTAACATGTGGGCCACCCCCCTCATTTTACAGATGAAGAATCAAGGTGATTAAATACTTCTCAAGGAGACTTAATTATTTGTGGCACAGAACTCAAACCCTAGTTTCCTGACTTTGTCTACTGCTTTTTTATCACTGTATCATTTAGATTTCTAATATAAAAACTTGCACTGATGGAAGCTTTAATCCTGCAAGTCACCTAACGGAGTGTTTTCTGCCTAGTCTTCACGAGTTTAGATTTTTGTTTTAGGTTTCTGTTTCAGTGAAATTGAGTTAAATAATGGTTTCCCCATATTAATGTACAGAGAACAGGATCTATTTTTAAAATTGACATAGAATTCACACACCATGGAATCTATTTTTATGCATCCATTTTGAAATCTAAAGTTCAAGCTTAGCTGCTATTCATAGAATCCATTTTACTTAGTGAGTATATAAAACACTCACAAAAAAACTTTCCACAATAAAAGAAACAGGTTGAGAAGTTTTCACCTTCATCGTTAAGAGTTTTGGATTAGATATAAAGGCATCTGAGGATTTTTAATGATTAACCAAAAAAAAAAAAAAAAAAAAAAAAAAAAAGGGCTCCCTCTCTCCCCCAAATAAAGAGGGTTT